TCTTTTTCTGAAATGGAATTCGTTTGACCACGTAAGAAACAATATTAATTTGACAGAACCACCTCTAGACTGTATCGCACCTTTGTGCAGACAAGTAAACAGCGCCCCTTCCTCCAGAAGCTTTACTTCCATCTGTCAGAAAATTCAGGAAAATCTACTGATTTTATTAGAAAAAGACACCCGACTGCCATCTGCTGGAAAATAGTTGTAATAAGTTTACACGTCCATGATCTCTCTGATATGAGTGGCACCCTCCCCCCTTACATGCAGTGCACAGCCTGCGTTACTGTACCCAGCACTCCCTAGACATGAGCGTGATCTGTGTTTTAAGAAATGGTCGTGGGCTCCAAAGAAGAAGGACAGACACCAGTGGCAGCTCCAAGCTTCCATCTAAAGATGAGACTACACACAGGTTATGTTGGGAACAGGGCTCTGGATATCCTGCCTCACTGGAGTGGGGTGGAGAGTTTGCAAGGCTGTTTCTAAGAGAAGCTCTACGGTTACTGCCAGCACGGGTAGACTTTTCAAGACTGGTGCTGAGGGACTTCTCTGGTGTTACAGTGGTTAAGACTCTGAGCTACCAATGTAGGGGGCCTGGGTTCGATCCCTGGTCAGGGAACTAGATCCCACGTGCATGCCGCAACCAAGAGTTTGCATGCCACAACTAAGGAGCCAGCGAGCCACAACTAAGGAGCCCGCCTGCCGCAACTAAGACCCGGTGCAACCAAATTAATTAATTAAATTTAAAAAAAAAGACTAATGCTGACACCGTACCACTTGAGACAAAAGAGCTTGCTTTTGGATGCCTACAGGAGATGATATACCATCACTTTGTTGGTAAAAAGTATGACACACATAAACATGAGCACAGGAGAGCCTCCTGTGAGAGTTGGGCCAGGCACTCTCAATCCTTGCTAGATTGCGTACTCTGTATCAAATCCTTACGCCAGCATAGCTGTGAGAAGGTGAGCTGACTCTCGTCCTCCTTAGAGATGAACAAGAAAAGTCTGTTCAGCAGGACAGGGCACAGTGATGCTCTTTCCATCTAGAGCCCTGTCAGGCTGCCCCTCAGCCACCTTTCCCGTGGGTGTTGACTCATTCAGTGATTCAGGCAAAAAAATATGGAGTCCTGTATCAGTTAACTCTTGCTATGTAACAAACCAAAGTTTAGGGACTTAAAAACAACCACCATCTACATAGGTCGCAATTCTGAGGGTTGGACTGAGCTTAACAGGGAGGTCCTCCCATCTCAGCGGGGCTCAAACCTACACCTGCAAGCAGTTGGGGGTTGGCGGGTCTAGGAGGACCTCAGCTGGTGGACTCATCTTTCAGCAGCGAGACCAAACTCATTCACTTGGAAGCAAGGCAGGGTTCTGAGAAAGCAAGTGGAAGTGTGCAAGGCCTTTGAGGCCTAAGTGTGCAACTGACAGGGCATCACCTCCCATGCACCCAACTGTCATAGCAAGTCACGACTCAGATTCAGGGTGTGGAAAATAGACTCCGTCTCCTGATAGGACTTGCTGCAAAGCCACGGTACAGGGCATGGATACAGGGGCATTTTTGCAACTTATCGCTGGCAGTAAGTAGCGGTGAGATGCTGAGCTCTGGGGATAAAAAGCACAAATCTGTAGGAGTCCTGAGACAAATGTGAAAGATGATAAGAGAGCAGACAGTTAAAGCTCTGCTTGATTGGTGCCACAGTAGAGATATGTTATTTCTCTAGAGTTAAAGTGAGTAACTGGAAATCACTGAAACATCACACTATCCGCAGGTAGAGTCATGTGCTAAAGAATCTTATTCTCATGTTATATCCAGCCTTCTTTCTATGATTATGTTCTCCTCAGCTCAGAAGGTGCACATGACACATTCGCCCGGTCAACCACATCTTTATCTTTCAAGAATGAGATTTCAAGCAGTAACTTCTGAGTTAGACATTTCCATGAAGTCTTGGGTCGCTTTCCTGGCCTCCTGTGGATATGCTTTGAGGATGACAACAACGACCTTTTTCTAATTATCCAGAACATTCAAGCCAAGCCTTCTTTCCACATCCCTTGCAGAAGGGAGAAGGTGGTAGAGATTTAATGAGAGAAAAGTATATGGGGGTGTCATAAAGTGAGGTTCTGACAGATGTGGTCTGATGCTGAGAGGACATATCCAGGGAACTCAATGTCTGTCTGTGAAACGGGCCTTGAGGATCGAAGCTCAGAGCACAAGACCCTTGCCAGCTGTTCTGTGGAAGCTTCCACTCCCTCCCAGCCGTCAGACTGCTCTCAGAGGGAACTCTCAGGACTCCCTTGGCAATGTGGGTGGAGGTGACCAGCACTGTCTTGGCAGCTCTCTTGACAATTCTCATTTTCACCTGGGCCAGTAAGCCCCTTTCAAGGAGTAGGAAGATGGTGCAGTGAGACTGTGGATGCTTGGTTCATGGTGAAGGAGTGTGAGGAAAGATGCACAAAGGAGTTAGATGTGCCCACAAGCCTGGGTTTGCTTGACGATTTGTTTAGGGCAGGTTTTGTATGTGCATCCCCCATTGGCAGCAGATTGCAGAGATTATTAGTCTCAAGTGTTTTCAAATATGACTATGGAAATTATACACCAGTGACAGTGTGGTACCACAGACCTGCAGCACAGCCTCCCAGCAGTGAGCCAAGTGTGCGTGTCTGTCTCAATTCCCCTATTCAAGAGGATCGAAACAAGGATTTGAGGGCAAGTCATTTATTTGGAAGATAATCTCAAGAAACAGTGATAGGGGACCAGGGAAGAGAGGGCAGGGAAGGAAGCTAATAAAGGATGTGTTATCAAGCTGGTTACCACTGCGGGAAAGTTCCACGCGGAGCATGCACCTCAGGGTTTCGCACCCAAGGGGAGAGGGAGCTGGGGTATTTGTACACCAACTCCAGTCAGTCATGTTTAAGGGCAGATGCAGGAAGATGTCTGATCTCAGAAACAGAGGCCACTAATGCTAGGCAGCACAGGACAAGAGATACCAGGTCTTCCTGAGCTTGGGAGAAAAGGTCAGCTTTGGGCTACAAAAAGTTACTTTTATATGGCAGTAGTGCCTATGCTGACTGTGAAAAGAAATGGAAATTCATCTTACCCTGTATGAAAAGCCATAGACATCGGAAGGAAAGGTCTTTTCAAAACTAAGCTAAAGGAAACTGCCATCGTGGCTCAGGAGGAGTTGCCAGTTTTAGGGGGGTACACACTGCCAGCTGTGTGCACGGCAGCTCGGCAGCTCACGGGGGTCACAGATTTGAGTGAAAGATCTGGAGGACAGCAAGATAGGATGCAGGTCTGCAGATACTTTAAAACTCCTATTGTATGAGAGCAGTACTTATCAAATTATTCTGCAATGGCTAATCTCTCTCAGGATTTAATAGATTTATCAAAAGCCAGATAAGCTTGGGAAATATCAAGTCCCTGACTTTCTTAATCCTTTCCTAAAAGGTTGATTTGATCCTTTACTGTTCTACTGTACATTACGAATCTCTTAAAGAGTGTATCATTTCCAAACTTATTTGACCGTGGAATCTGTTTTACTCCCAAACAACCTATGAATAGCTCAATAACTAGTTTTCCCCAGCATACAGTTTGGGAAACACTCCACCAGAAGCACATTACAAGGAACAAACAACTTATCATAAGAAAGCTTGCAGGAAGTCCATGCATTTTGAAAAGTGGTTCCACATGATGCTTTTTCTAAATCAGCCCAATCTGAGGCGTTGTGAGCATAGGTCATGTCTCCTCCGGGTCCAGGTGGCTTGGGAATCAAAACGGTTGATTCCCCAGCATCTCTAACCTGGCGCCTCCTCTTTCTGCCTTTCAGATGGGCTTCTTTCGCAGAAGGTACAAAGAAATTATTGAAGCTGAGAAGAACCGTAAAGAGAATGAAGACAGTTGGGACTGGGTCCAGAAAAACCAGTGACCTGCCACCCCACCCCACCCCGGTCATGTGGCCCAGTGGTTCGCCTGTCTTCCTGATCTTTGTATCTTCCATATTTGGAAGAAAGAATCTTCTCCAGATTTTTCGGAGGCCCCACGATGCTGTTCTCGTCCTCGTTCTCTCAAGCCCAGGTGCCAACCTGAGGCAGTCACTTCGGCCAGGTCACCTGACTGGAACCACCACCACTTCCTTTTCCAGCTGAACTCACAACTTTGGAAAGCCGGCTGCAGAGCCAGGCGATATTTATGGATGCAACATGCGTGGTCAACCCTCAGGGGAAAACTGTTACCTAAAAGTATTTTTATAAATATAAGCCTTTTATACTGATTATGTCTTTATATTTGTATCGATGTTTTATTATTTCTATTAAATGGTTATATAGTTCACTCAAGCACTGATATCTGGCCTGAAATCTTGGAAATACTTGTATATTCATACAAATGTTAAAGGATAAAGATCTTATTGTACTCTGGAACTTGCTGTTAAAGAAGACTCAGATGAAATCATCTGAAGAAACCTCATGTGATGAATCCACCCAGCGGGTGGTGCTGTATATCAGCTGTGGTTTGGGGCTGAGCCCGAAGGCATCTCACATCTCTGTTGCCTGGAGTCAAGTGCGGAATAATGTGCTGAAGAACCACGAGAGTTTTTTCATCTGTACCGTTCATTGGAAGATTCCCAGCAGGAATTTGGATGGAAAAACCTGATTCTTGAGGTCTGTTCTGCATCACCTTATAGAGCAGACATTTCACCCTCCTTGCACTTAAATTAAGACATGAAAGCTTGGAGCAATGCCGTTTCATCACTGGTAAACCTCAGAATGGCATCTCATCCTGGACATCGTGCATCAGAGTCCGCATACCACCGGGACTGAATTGGTGCCCACCAAGCAGAGACTTGTGTCTGAGTGCTGTGATGTGTTATCTTTTCATGTTAATTTGAGTCCAGGGGTCTCCATTATCCCCATCACTCTTGCTGTCCCAGCTAATGGTAATTGCAGTGTCCTTCCCAGAGATGACCATTCAACCTGTCCTTATTTTTTTTAATCGTGTCTTAGGTGGAATTCTTAAGAAGTGGACCCTGAGACAAGGATTTTCACGCAGTAACTTATTAAGGAAGTATCCCCAGGGCACACCAGTAAGGACACGAGGGAAGCAGGACACAGAAGGGGAGGAAGACAGGTAAGGGAGCCATTTCAGGGCAGGTCCCGTGCAGGGGGTCTTCAGCCTGATCCTGCTGGGGGGCTCTGGAGGGTAAGTTATGCCTCAGAGTTGTCCCAACCCGGGGCAAGGGAGCTGAGCTTTCATAGTCTTGTACCCAGGAGAGATGTAAACTTTCTGCTTTCACTTCCTGCCAGCAAAATAGCCCCAGTAGCTCAGGAGCAGTCCTCAAAAAGAGGGCTGCACCCCCAGCCTGGGAAGCGCACAGAAATAATGCAAAAGAAATGATGCAGAGGGATCTGGGCATAGCACTGACGTCCTCGCCTATCCCCTGTACAGGTGAATGCTGAGTTATGGCCTTCACTATCCAAGCTCTCTATTTGACAGTGTTCATTACCAGACACGCAGTGCTGTCCAGATTTGAGTGCAGTGTGATTCTCTGAAAGGGCGAGGTGGTGATGGATGTAGCAAGCTCAACATCATGCCTGGCCCGTAGTGACATTCAATAACCATGAGCAGCCCTGGCTGCTTTTACCGCTGCTGGAAAACCATCTGGTACAGGGGAAAACGTGCTGAAGAGCAGGGTCTGACAGAGTCCTTAGTCACTTATCACAGCCTGCTCAAGCCCCGGGTACAAACAGATGGCATCAGATGAGAATGAAACAAGAAACAAGACCAGGCATCTTTCTCATAGGGCCTTGTTGACTGGGAGCTAAGATGTGCGGGGGCCCGTGAGTATTGTTGAAAAGACACAGAACTCAACTTCAGGGGAGATAGGTTTTTCCAGACACATAGTTGGCTAATGCTTGCAAAGATATCTAAAGTTTTGGCAAAATTATGAGGGTGCTGGGCGGTTACAAACCTGGCAGGGAGCGCACGTGTCTTTTTGTTTCTTACGCAGTTGACTCTGACACAGGAAGATACAGAATGCATCATGCTCCCCTTCCAGTTCTCACTCAGAGTTCACCTCTGACAGATATGTATGGGGCCCCTGCTGTGCGTCAGGCCCTGTGCTAAGTGCGGGGGGTTCCCCAGTGAACACCACCCCACATTTTGCCCCAGGGGAGGCAGATCTTCCCACAGTGGGATCGTGAATTCCTTTACGAGACCTCATCTGCAGCCTTCCTTGGATGGACTTCTGCTTGTTGTTTCATGTTGTGCTTTAATAAATCATTTAGGATTCTTAGGTGGTAGGCCTGGGACAGCTCCATCAGCAGCTTTGGCCAAATGCACGACTAGCCACAGCCAGCCTCCTGCAAGGTGTGCAGACGCATGGGAGACGGTGTAGCAGGTTAACTGGCAGGCACACGGTTCTGCCAGCCAGAGGGGAAAGCCTCACCAGGGGAGGGGCAGGCTCCATAGCCAGTCTCAGAGCTGGGATCCATGTGCTTCTGGGTGGTTCTGAGTGGTGGACACACGAGTGGTCACATACCCAGGAGATTACTAAGACTAAATAGGGCAGTTTTTAAGAAAATCACGCTTGGCCTCCACTGGAGGAAATACTGGCAGCCACTCTGGAACCTGTATGGGGAGGATGGTACATCTGCTTATCTCCTGATGCTGAGTAGGCGGGGCAGCATGGACTGGGGAGGTGACCGTTTAGCACAGAGATAGGGAAGTTGAGCAGGTTATCAGCGCTCTCAGCTTGGCCGGTTCACCAGCTCCATCCAGTTCAGAAGCCCTCAGTAGGCTCTTGGGGGAAGCAGACAGGATGGGTTGGTGTGTCTTTGTTCCTTCTCCAGAAGGTTCTTTTAAAATTCCACAGTGCCTTCCAATTTCCACCTTTCCTGCTTCTGCGGGTTCACTGTGGAATGCCATCTGATGTTCTCTTGCACAGCATTATTTAAGTCTGCTTCAGCTTTTTGGTTGTGTATTCACTAGGGTTATAATCAACTGTCAGAAGGATTGAGGTGCTCTTTAAATATGACAAAAGGACCTTTGTAGAAATTAAGTGAAATAATGCCCCCTTTTAAAAAATGATTCACTTATGCTCAGTTTACATGGGACTCAGGAGTTTGGAACATCAGCTAAGTGAGCCCTGGACCTGTCACAAAGAAGAGGCCATGAGGTTCAGGAACGAGGGGACACTGGCAGGAGTGAGTGGGTCCAGTGGCTTTACGGTGACTGACAGGCACACGGCCAGAATCACTTGCTACTGAGGTCACTGAGGCTTTCTCAGTCAATTCTTCAGGAAACTTCCATCAGCATTCTGAAGTTGGGTAAGCTTTGTAGAAAATCCGATGGAAAGTCCTCCTTCACCAAATCATATGTAACCTTCAGCCCTGGAGCCAGAGGCAGGGAGGTTCAAAACAAAACCAGCAGGCCTCCTGGAAACATCAGGGACCTGTTTTCAATGTGGATGTGTAGCAGGTCCCTTAGGTGGTTGTGATGGGTGCTGATATGCTACCTGTGGAACCGTAGCAATGTCATTTTTAAAAAAGGTTATTCTACTTTTATTTTTGGATAAGGCATCATATCAGGGCAACGCAGTTACACTCGGGTTACCTGTAAAACCTACACCTGATGAAACCTGCACCTAATTCAGACTTCCCGAAATGTAGAGGCAAAGCAAAGGATTGGTATTTGGGGGAAATGGCCTTTTAGCAGATAAAAGGCAGAAAACGAGTGTCCCTTAGAAATGCTCCAAGTGTGCAGGGTTTTAGTCCATGTGTTGTTTTGCTATATAGAGCAAGAATATACACAGTGGAGAATATGTTCTGAAGCAAAGAATGGCTGAAGGGTTAGGATACAAAGGCAGTAGGGCCAAAATGAACCTTCTAGAATGTCTTCTGATTTTCAGCATGTGAGGGGGATAATGAACAAATGTCCCACGTGATGCAATGCTTTGTAGCACAATGATCTAGATTTCAGACTGTGTTAAGGTTTTTTCAAATTCTAATGTGCACGGTGTGACCGGCGGAGTAAGTTTAAAAGCTTTAAGAGTGTGATGAATTGCATGGCAGGCACCCACGCTAACTTCACTTCCAGATCTTGATTGATGCATCTGTGTACGTTTCCGTTGAGGAATTTCAGTGGGAGGGGTGTTCCTCTTCACAAAGTCGCATGTATTCAAGTCTGTGCAGTCACTTCTAATTCACTTGCACTGTTTGGGAAATGCAGGTTTACAAAAGTACGTGTTTGGAATAAAAAAACGGCTACAAACGATTTGGGAGTTAAGTCTGTAATTTCTTTTGCTACTGAAGTACTTGAGCCTTTTTAGGCTGTTAAAGATGGGGTTTCGGTGTGATACAACATGAGCATTTAAAGAGCCCACGCAGGTTCGTCTAATTGCACATAAAGAACCCACTCAATGTGTCCGAACTGTCCCTAGTCTTTGGCCTCCATTCCATGGTCGCCACCTTCTCTATGCATCACCCACCTGCCCAGGGCCACACCTGGGACCTTGGTCTTAGGATGAACGTGCCCAAATTAAATGCAGCTGATTCCTCGTTTTTAGTAGACTGCTTCCTCATGTGTCCGCCAGTCATGAAGCATTTTCCCGGAAGCCTTTTGGTAGCATCCTTACACATTTACAAACATTGTGTTCTCTTAATTTTTGATCCCCTCCATCTGTCTAGTTATGTCCCTCTTCTTATCTCAAATATTGTTCATTTGTGTGTTTTTCTCTTTTTTCTCTAGATGAGACCAACAGAGATCATTTTATTGATCTTTTCAAGAATAAGCCTTTGGCTACACCAATCAGGTGTACTGGTTTTTGCTTCCTATTTCATTAATTGCTGCTTCTATACTTGTTAAGATTTATATATACTCCCCTGTGGTTAAAATTCATACACACACACACACCCCACACAGTATATAGAAGGGGGTCTGAAAAGATACACACCAAGGGGATAAAACTGGTTGTCTTTAACTGGGTAGGATTGTCAGTGTTTTTGCTTTGCATTTTGTTTTGTTTTTACTTGTCTGAATTTTCATGTTCTACAGTGAGCATGTATGTCTTTAGTAACAATGAAACATATGCAAATTACTTTTAAAATAAAGTTACCTCTGGGAGAGTATGAATTGCTAAACCAAGAGAGATCCCAAATTCTAGGTCTCAGAAGAAAGAGCTTTGTTTGCAACAAAGAGCATTGATGAGCCTGACACTTAGGTCGATGGTCCAGTGAGAAATCCCAAGATTTTTCATTCGGATGCTTCCTGGCTTAACAAGACCTGCCAGATCACCAATGCTGATTAAGTATGCTTCTCTTGTGTTGCTCCACCTGTTTCCTTCAGCCAGGAAAAGTCCTCGACTAACTCAAAGGAATCAAAGATACAAAACTAAGAGGAAGAAAAATGGCCAATTAGTAAATTCTGTCTCCCATTCAATTAGGAGTTGTACAGTCCACTGTTCTTTACCTCTGGTCCTTAAAGTCTGTCTATTCATCAGGATTTTGCTTAGTAATAGAATTAATGGGAGTGCTTAGTTAGAGCTCTGTCTTTACTATCAAACCACTTGGCAGCTATCCACCAGCAAGGCCACCCGACCCTGAGATCATGTCCATTCATTCTGTGTAACATCCAACTAAAGTGGATATAACGAGATATGGCCAGCTCTGCCCTGAAATCTGAGGCTGTGACATCTGGGCCTGCTGCCAAACATCTGCTTCACCTCAAAGTCTAGTCTGGATCAGTGTGTGCTTTATTTGATGTGATTCTTCTATAATTGAAAAAATACCTAAAAACTTAAAGCAAATCTCAGTAGAGGTATAAGTACTACCTTCTGAAGACACCAAATGGATTAATAAGCAGGGGGCATTTTTAAAAGGATCTCCAGAAAAACTTTCTTCTAAGAAATGGCAGACTTGGAAAAAATGAAATGCTCTCCAATATTACGTCTATTCAGAACCCACCTTATCAGTTAGAAGACTGTTTGGCTCCATATAATAGAAAAATCCAAAATAACATGGTTTAAACATGCTGGAAGTATGTTCCTCTCTCACATAAAAGAAGACCAGGTGTGGGCCATCAAGTTCTGGAACAGCAGCTTCATGGATGATCAGGATACCAGCTCCTATCTTTCTAGGCATGTGGCCTCCATCCTTAAAGTTACCTTGTGGTCCCAGCTGGCTACCAGTGTACCAGCCATTGTGTCCACATTCCCAGCCAACAATAGAGGAGGATAAAATGGCAATGCCCCCTTGCTTTTAACTGGCCTTCCCAGAAGTCCCATACAGCACTGGCCAGAAATTAGTCATATAAATGCACCCATCCACGAAGGAGGCTGGGGAATGGATTTTTAAGGAATAAGAGGAGAATACATATTGGAGACAACTAACAGTTGTCACACCCATTGGTATAAGATACTCAGAATATAGCTTCCTTAAGCCCTAAATACGTACCCTTCAAATCCTTGAGTCTGACTGGATTTGAGCAAGAGGAACACCTTTATTTGGGGTGGGTACTTAGGAAACAACAGAGCTGGCTAATCATATTAATGTCCACACAAAGCTCTTTCTTGTTTTATGTTATTTTTCTCCTTTATCCCCCTCCATCCTCATTCACATTCCTCTCTCTCCTAGAGGCACCAAGTCTAATGAATTGAATACATGTCCTTAGAAATGTAAGTACATAGTATTATTTTGTGTGTTTCACTTAAATGGTATTAAGCCTAAAAGCTCAGGTTGTGGTTTCATTTTTTTGAGGATGTATTCATGTTGCTGTGGTTATGCAGCACTACATCCTACATTGTTTCTACCACATTTTACTACTCCAGCCCCTCTGTAGGAGACCTTTGACTGCTTGCACCCTCCTGCTGCAATGAACATCCTCTCCCATGTCTCCCGCTGGGCCTGAGCTAGAATCTCTTGTGGTACATATTACATATATTACATCTTAACATGGTTACAGTCTCCTTTTCCAGATTCTAAAATGACCCCACAGTGGATGCTCTCAGCAGCAGTGCATGTCCCTGCATCCTTGCCCATCATGGAATTATCTGACTTTCTTGCCAGTCTTGTGTGTACACTGTTGTATGGAGTTAGGTTTGAATGTGTTTGACAGCCGTACACATGCATCTCTTCATATTCTTATTGGCCATCTGGGTTTCCTTTTCTGGAATCAGTTTCACCTCCTTGAACAGTCTCTCCATTAGATTTCCAGAATAGTACGCCTACCACCTCCCTGGCCACTTCTCAGCCTCCCTTGCAGGTTCCCACTCTTCTTCCCAGCCTTTTGATGTTGGAACTTCTTGCATCTGTACTCCTTGGAGATCCCCATCCAGGCTCCTGGCTTTACGTGTCACCTACAGGACCCAGGTGCCTCCAGTCTGGTCCTCTCCCCTGAATTCTCCACTCACTCAGCTAGATCACAGGCTTCTCAAACTGAGCATGTTCAAAGCTGGACTGCTGCTGTCCCCATCTCAGGAAATGGCAGCTTTATTCTTCTGCTTGCCCTGGCCAAAATCCTTGCAGTCATCCTTGACTCAGCCTTCTCCCACACTACAACCAGTCCTTCAGAAATCTCTGCCAAATGGTCTTTAAAAAACAAAACCACTAATTCAAAAAGGTACATGCGGGCTTCCCTGGTGGCGCAGTGGTTGAGAGTCCGCCTGCCGATGCAGGGGACACGGGTTTGTGCCCCGGTCTGGGAAGATCCCACATGCCGCAGAGCGGCTGGGCCCAGGAGCCATGGCCGCTGAGCCTGTGCGTCCGGAGCCTGTGCTCCACAATGGGAGAGGCCACAACAGTGAGAGGCCCGCGTACTGCAAAAAAAAAAAAAAGTATATGCACCCCAACATTCAGAGCAGTATTTTTACAATAGCCAAGGTATGGAAGCAACCTAAGCGCCCATCAACAGATAAATGGGTAAAGAAGATATGGCATATAGATACAATGGAATATTACTCAGCCATAAAAAAGAATGAAATTTTTGCCATTCGCAGCAACATGGATGGAGTTGGAGGGCATTATGCTAAGTGAAATAAGTCATACAGAGAAAGATAAATACTATATGGTATCACTTATATGTGGAATCTAAAAAATACAACAAACTAGTGAATAAAGCAGGAAAGAAGCAGACTCCCAGGGGGGAGGGGCAATACAGGAGTAGAGGAAAAAAAGGGTTATTATGGGATTATATGAAATCATCTATGTGAATCTTTTGAAAATTGTAAAGCACTCATTGCCAGGCAAACTTAAGAGCTTTCAGGATCACTCAGAACCATCCTGTGTCTCTGTCCATACCCACTATGACTGGATTTTTCTTTATTTCCTTTTAGTTCTGTCCATTTTTGCCTTTTATTTAGGACTGAGCCTATTTTATTAAGTACCTAAAAGTTTAAATTATCTATCTTTTCCAGATCAACACTCTATCATTATGCAGTGATCTTTCTTTTTCTCTAGACTTGTGTTCAAGTCTATGTTGGTTAGTGTTTATACAGTGTATCTTTTCTCATTTATTTATAGTCTTTCTATTGATATATCCTTATATTTTGTATGTATCACTTGTAAACAGAATATAGTTGAGTTTTTAAAATCCATTCTAACACTGTTTGTCATTTTATTAGAACATTTAGTTTATCTGTACTTATAATTATTAATGAAATAATTGGATTTATTTCTGTCTTATTTTGTGGGGTTTTTGTGTGGGTTTTTTTGCCTATCTTAAGTTTCTTTTTCTGTCCTTTTCTTCTTTTTCACATTGCCTTCTTCCCCCCATTAGTCCTTCTTCTTATGTTCTTTAAGTGGATACCCAGATACCCTAGAACTTCAAGACTTACCATAGTTTACTTGCCTAAACATACCACAGTCTAAAGTTAATAACTCTCCTTTAATGCATTTTAAGTTTATACTTCAACATCATAAGTCTTTTGTTTTTGTGTTTTTGTGTTGAATATTCTGTAGTAAAATGTTGCTCATGTATTTGCCACCTTCTCTGTTCTTCATTCTTTCATCTCAGATCTTTCTTCCTGGGGTCATTTTCCTTATGCCTAGTACATCTTTTAGAATTTTCTTTAGTGAGAGACTGCTGACAGGCACTATTTCAGTTTTGTTTTATTTGAAGCTTCTTTAATCTGCCAGATTCTTGACTTTTTGCTGGCATAGAATTCAGCAGTTATTTTCTCTTGGTGGATAAATATATCATTTCATCTTCTGGCTCCTGTTGTTACCATTAAGAAGTTGGCAGTCAATCCATTTGTCACTTCTTTAAGAGGGATT